CATACCCGTGCGATGGTGGCAGTGGTCCTACAATGTCTAAGTGAACGTGATCGAAGCGAGCATCAGGCGTAGCGAATGTACCGAGAGGGCGGCTACGTGCCTGTGCACTTTTGATCGTTGACATTGTAAGCATTGCTTAGCCCACATACGAACATCTTTGTTCATGGACGGCCAGACGTATCGTGCAGCGATGAGGTGTAATGTAGCTGCGATACCTGGGTGAGATAATCCATGCAGGGCATCGAATACGAGACGGCGATAAGCAGAGGGTACGATGGGTCGAGGAAGACCGGTAGACGTATCACATAGAATGGTGCCAGAAGTCGTGGCTAGAGGTACTTCCTGATACTGAAGGGACGTAGAGTGTGGTGCTTTTGAACAACTGGGATCGTTTGCTTGGGCAGCGGCCATAGCAGGAAGATCAAGCACCGGCAAGGTAACTGCATTCATTTGGATTCGTGATAGAGCATCGGCAACACAGTTCGACTTGCCTTGGATGTGACGAAGATCTGTCGTGAACTGAGAGATATAGTCCAAATGTCTGCACTCCCGTGGTGAGTAGCGGTCAGACTTGGTATGCAAAGCATACGTTAAGGGCTTATGGTCGGTGAATAAAATGAATTGACGTCCTTCTACTGCGTGCCGAAAATGTTTGATGGCGCAGTAGGCTGCTAGCAGCTCGCGACCAAAAGCGCTATATCTCGTCTCCGTGGCAGTAAGGCGTCGTGAGAAGAACTCGAGAGGTTGCCAACTACCGGAGATGTTTTGTTGCATGACTGCTCCTATAGCGACATCGGATGCATCAACCGCTATACTAAGCGTGGCTGATGGATCGTGATGGGCGAGAAGAGTGGCTTGCGCAAGAGCCGTTTTGATTTCAGTGAATGCAGTACGTGCAGAATCGTTCATTTCCAATCTGCGTGGGTTGCCGCGTAGTAAGTCGGTTAGTGGTCGTAACCGTTCTGCCGCGTGTGGGATGAAACGACGGTAGAAGTTAACCAAACCGAGAAAAGCCTTCAGTTCCTTGAGTGAGGACGGCTCGTTGTACTCCTTTATCGCTTGCACTTTGTCCTCACAAGGTAAAATACCCTCTTGCTTGATAACATGACCCAGAAATATGATCTCTCGTTTACCAAACTCGCATTTGTCTGGGTTAACTACTATTCCATTATCCGAAAGGCGTTGGAATAATAGCGTAAGATGTTGATAATGTTCATCTACGTTTGATGATGCGATTAGCAGGTCATCAATATAGACGTGAACAAAATCGAGGTCTCGTACAATGCTATCGATAAACCTTTGAAAAGTTTGAGCAGCATTCCGTAATCCAAATGGCATTCGTAGGAACTCAAACAAACCGAAAGGAGTCGTGATAGCAGTCTTTTCGATATCTTCAAGAGCGACTGGGATCTGATGATATGCTCGTACCAGATCGATCTTAGAAAAGATAGTCGTGCCCTTGAGCGATGCCGTGATGTCGTGTATGTGGGGGATGGGGTAGCTATCAAAGCGCGTAACTACGTTTAGAGCTCGGTAGTCGCCGCATGGTCTCCAACTAACCCCATCTTTTTTGCGCACCATGTGAAGAGGAGAGGCCCATGGACTGTGAGAAGGACGAATAATACCAGTAGCTAGTAAATTGTCAAACTCACGCTTAGCAAACGCTAATTTGTCCGGTGCCAGTCGGCGAGGTCGTGCCGTGACTGGCGGTCCGCGGGTGACTATGTGGTGTACCACACGATTGGTCACCGATGGAAGCTCCTCGAGTGGTTTAGTGAGTACGGGGAATTTCTCGAATAAAGCGTGGAATTTATCGTCACGCGAGTAAAAAGTGCCGAGGATTCGGTACGCGTTCATGTGGGCTTTACAGCCCATGAATTTGCTGTTCGACGAAGTATCGATTAGCTGCAGCCTACGTGAATCGACAAGCAATTCATAGTGCTGTAGAAAATCGATACCTAGTATGGCTGTGGGAACATCAGCAATGATGAACGTCCACAGATACCGTCGTCGGTTGCCCAGGTTGACCGCGAGTTGTCGTGTACCGTAGGTAGGAATGACTGAGCCATTCGCAGCGCGTAGTCGAAGCACTGTGGCTTGTGACTTGCTGCTACCTCGTGGTACGACAGAAACTTGGGCCCCAGTGTCTACTAGGAACCTAGCGTTCGTGCGGTAATCGTGCACATAGAATAGGCGACCAACCTGGGGTGAAGGGCCGGCGAGTACGGCCGCTTTTACTCGCCGGCGCTGGCGTTTCCCGCCTTGTATGAGCATGGTGCTCGACAACGGCGGGCGCCAGACCCGAAGGACCTATGGAACCAGCACCATCTATCACTCGCTTCCGTAGCCGCCTTCCGGCGTGGCTTGGAAGATGCCCGTTTTGGGCGAGTGGTGACGCGTTTGCGAGAACTTGAGCGAGCTCGGGGGACGTAGGGTTGGGGTACGTTACAACGGTCTCGAAAACTAAGACGTGTGTGGATACACCCGTCCCTGTCGCCATGAGCTGAGGAATGACCGGCGTCCAAGTCTACTTTAGGACGTGCCGTTGAAGCAACTACATAGGTATCTTTATTGCTAGTCCTCGCTAAAATTTTATCTGCTATGAGGGCTACCTGGTCAAGCGGTGAGTCCTCGAGCAGTGCCGTCACAGTGGGTTGTATATGTGCTGGTAGTGACTCTAGCCACAATTCCTTAACTATTTCTGAGTCACTTGCTGTTGGTCCTGCAAGAGATTGCAGGCGCGTGAGGTGGTGGCTCGGTTTAGCATCACCCAGGGGGTGACGTGCTAACAGTGTCCTCAATCGTTCCTCCCTCGATGGGAGGAAATGTCGGAGAATTGCCTCTTTGAGGCGATCATAAACATTAGGTACGTTAGAATTGAGGACAACCTCACGAACAGCTACCAAGTGGTCCCCGGGTAATGACTCGAGAGCGTAGGCGTATTTTTGCCTTTGGCTCGTGATCCGACGAGTCTCGAACTGAGACTCCAACGCAGCAAACCAGACCTCAGGGTCGTGGGGGATAAATGATACAGGTCGAAAATGAATGGCCTGTACGTCTGAGTCTATAGCATTAATAGTATTCTTCTCGCTATCCGTCATGTCGTGTATATTATATATTAAAAATTAATATGAAAATATACGACAGACGTGGATAGATAAATAATAGACTCACCAAATTGGCTTCTTTGGAAGATTTGACCCGAGGTTGAGGCGTGTTCCAAACTTTGGGATCACCAATTGTAGCGTGGCGTCGAGTTGAGATTAACTGTGAACACCGCTACCCAGAAACACGTGCCAGACAAATCAGAAGGCGAGGATCGATCGTAACCAGATTTATTTCGTTGGCGATCTCGTGGTATTGAACGAATACCGAGATCGTGCCAAGGAATGGTACAAGTGAAAGGAGAAACGGGAGTACGTGCGAGCAGTACCAAAAACCGCGGAATAATAATGGAAGGTAATGGAAGCACAAAATGGCTACAATTAGCACAGTTAAACAAAAGCACATTAAAACAAACACTGGTACAGTTGGTTATAATAATAATTGTTTTTATTAAACCAGTCGTGTTCTCGTGATAAACGTGAGTCACTACATATACAACAACTCTCTTCTAAAATTCAAGAACATATTCTGATAAAAAAAACCAAGTCACACATTTTTTCAAGTCTGAGGAGATGTTTAACGGGGTCAGACCACAATTAAAAAAACAGTTTATTGTGTCATTATCCTTTTATTTTGAATAGTTCTCCAGAGCGTGCTAGAGCGGTAATTCTACTTTGGAGGTCATTGGTTCTCCAGAACAGGTTAGAAAATTATTCAGAAGAGGTTAGGGGGCATCTAAACAAGTGCTTTCGTTTAAACAGTCTATAGTATTCAGTACTCTTCTCGATTTAAAAACTCATTTTATCGAGCAATGGATTCTCAATGGGTTAGTAGCTAGTGAGTTAATTTAAGCTTTTCACAGCAGATTTTTTCTACCTTAATTCACTGTCTGATACGACAGTTTATGTGAACCAAACTTACTTAATCTCCATCTGCTCGAAGTTTCAGTAACATTCATAAGCACGTATATGATGTACAATGCGCACTAGATTGTCGATAGTTTCTAGGTTAATTTAACAGTTGCAAGTATAAAACGGCAGTTAACCTATATTCCCCGAATATTTAGTGCTGCAGAAATTTAATATCACCTCAAACATATCAACATGAAGTGCAAATTCTGTGTTCTGGTAGAATTGTTATTATAATATCTGTACCCGATGAACTAGTTCCGAAGCGTCAGTTTTAAATTTGAAACTAAAACTTTATTTAGATTTACAAATAACAAACCCTATGTAGCAATCACGTCTTTGGTTGTAGCACGACCTGCTATAATTATGTTGGTTAAGCATTAATTGAAAACCCCTGTTTTGTCGCTGAACTTCTGACAGTGTTGTCCTCTGTTTATTGTCTTCTAAGTAAAAGATAGTCTCACATGAGTCTCAGTTTTATCATTCGTTTAAATTCTTAATTTATCAAAAGTTATCGACTATATTGAAGCAATCTGTATAAACGTCAAACGAGACTGGTCGGAATTCTTAAAATGTCAACATTCTATTACCAATACTTATCACTTTAATACTTGTAAAATGTCGAATGCAGTGCTTCGATTTAGTACTCTTGCAATCTCCAAATTATCTGCGTGCCTGTTTTCGGGTTTAAACTACTTACAATAATAATGAAATCACAAGTCATCGAGGTTTATGCTGGTGTAAGTTACCTTTACTATCGTTGAGATCCTGATTTGACTGGGAAAGTTTCGGCAAGGATTTTTCTGAAGCAATTCGTCGTGATCTATACTTGTCTTATATGTCCTCTCAAAGTCGAAAATATTCAGTTACTGATGCATCCTATGGATATAATTCATGATTATATTGTGCTTTTATTTCAGTAGTAACAACTTGGTGTTTTGTGACAAAGTATATTTAACTGCGATCTAAAAATATCTGCACAAGAATATGGGAAATGATGAAGTTGTACTTACTGACAGCACGAAGAAAATTAAAGCTATAATCTTAATTGGTGGTCCATGTAAAGGTAATAATGGACATTTCGATTACTTTTTCACATAAAGGGACTCGCTTTAGGCCACTTTCATTGGAGTTGCCTAAACCACTTTTTCCAATAGCTGGATTTCCAGTTGTTTACCATCACATCGAAGCCTTTTCCAAGGTAATCATTAGAATTCGACATCGCAATTTAGTTACCGGGATTGAGGGAAATCATTCTTTTGGGATTTTACCAACCAAATGAGGCTCTCAACCAGCTTATTTCGAATGCGCAGCACGAGTTTAAGGTTTCTGTTAGGTATGTACAGTTTGGATGTTTATTAATTTTCTGTCATTTTTCACTTATTTTGAATACCTAAGTACAGGATTTAATTCGTTCTACAGATATTCTACTTGAAATGTAAACGCGATACTGGCAACCCTAGGGTCTATATGAAAGCCATAATCAGAACAAGGACAACTCGTCTTTAAGCTTTATCTGTTTCTAAACGTAAAATTACAATTTGATTAGTACAATAATTAAAAAAACTATAATCGTTAAGTGGAACGCACGAACATACCGACCAGTATTGCTTATCTTATCGAAATGAATAAAAATTATGACTCATACTAATATAATAGGATAATAATCCCTTTCAGTTTTCAGATCACATGCAACAAGGAGAGTCTACAGATGCATCAGACCAGACTGACGTTTTGGGCGCTTAAGCAGTGATTTGGTTGGTTAGTTATGGACACTATTGACATTCTCCCCAAGCGGTCACCACGTCCAGGCTTCACTGCTCTCGTGTTCATATAATCGGCTTCTTCCACTATGCACAGGTTTCGTATATCCCAGCTGATCTCTTCAGTTGCTGTCTTCAGTCGAACTGTTCTGACTCGTCCATCTAGACCATAATTGACTCGGGCCTCTAACCTAGAGGTCTAATCCACAAGTCAGTTGGGCGACTTTAGGAGATGCAGTTCCATGATAGCTGTGACCAACAACGGATTTATACGCGATTAGTTCCTTCAGAATCCTGAGCTCACGTGCACCATTGGTTTGGAATCAGAATTTCCCAACTTCTATAGGTGGTTCCTCTTTACCCACCATTAACCCAGTTGAAATGCCATACGTTTACTTTTCATCCTCTCAGTTTTGTAAACAACATCCCGGCTAAGAGAAGACAGTGAGTAGGACTTCCCTGACAGAGGCTGTATACGCGTGACCATGTGAGGGCATCTTGAGAGGAAAAACTGACTGTCCCCACCTTTGGCTGTACCAGGGCATTCAAGTCTCAGTAGATAGCTTGCCCAATCTCGTCATTTGGTTTACGTCACGCTTAGCATCAAAACCACTTATCTAGAATTTCAGGCAAATTTAGGTTGTGATTCAAATAGGTCAAAAACTCATAACGTTTGAGTGTGTTCCTTTAAAAGATCTCTAAGCCACAGTAAAAAATTCAGCTTTTCCACTGTAGTTACTTAAATACTTTTATATCACTACTTTTAGGTTTATTCGCATTTATTTATTTATTTATTTGAACACAAATATTGGTATAAAGGGGCACCAAATACACTAACAATGAGAATGTAAAGAGATATAGAATGTAAGGTGCGTATAAGAGAAAGGAGAAAATAGTGTATTTTAGTGAAATAATAATAATAATAATAGGAGAAGCAGTTCAGTTAGCAACGGTACATCCAGAGAGGATTCTTCCAGTTAAAGAAATCACGCCCATTTTTATGAAGAAAGTAAAATAAAGTTACAGCAAGATCACCACTGGCTTCTATTCTGAGCAATATCTGATAACGACTCTAGCCACTGTGTTGCACCATCTCTAGGACCCCTGCCAGGGAGTCGTGAAGGACCAATGAAGGCCAGCCCTTTGCAGCTTTCTTTCACAGCACGACACTATGTCATACACTGACCACCTTTCCGCTTTTTCAAACTAGTTCCAGTGTCAGAAAATAATGCACGACGTGGAATGCTCTAGGACGACATTCGGAGAACATGTCCAAGCCACCGAAGTCTATGTTTCAAGATGGTGCCCGAACACATGATGCTGAACCTCTGCATTACTAACATGGAGCAGCCACTGGATGTCAGCAATCCTTCGGAGACAAAGATGCTCAAACACAGAGAGTCGTCTGAAATCCTCAACTCCGGAAGGCCAGGTCTCCCAAGTGTAGAGCAAAACTGCTCTTACCGACGCGTTGTAGGTCCGACATTTAACAGCCAGACTAACATCATGAAGGCGCCAAAGATGACCCAGATTGGCATAAGCCGCCCTGGCTTTCACTATACGTGCATTGATCTCATCACTCATGCCATTACCAGCACTTATGCAGCTACCTAGATACACGAACTTCTTGACTACTTCTATCCCGACCGTTGTTGCTACCTTGATGTGGTGGTCGGGCTTGCCTATCGTGATGAAGCGACCGAGCTATACTGGCTGGAACAACCGTTCCTCAAGGTCCTACCATGTTAGACAGGTCGGTTGAAGAGTGCTAAGACTTAAAGCGACAGACCCAAGGTCCGAAGGCGAAGTCACACTGTTAACTGCACAGAGGTGTGACAGCAGTAAGGTGTTTCCTTCAGACAACCAGCATGACAGCGATGTTGCCTTCCCACAAGGAGGGGTGGGGTTAGAAAAGGTCGACCCTAAAAATGCACACCTCGCCTTATCCCACGGACATCCGTCTCTGGTGGTAAGGTCTCAACAAGTACGGAGCTAACACAAAAATTACTCATAGAAAGGTCGTGTGTGACTGACCTCCAGCAATTGTCCCTTGGGCACTGCGGTCACGATCTCAGGTCACTGAGACCACCTCTAATCCAATTTCTTTTCAGGTACCTCCAGAACAACCCTTCCACGGTGTGGGCAACTGGGAAGTGATAACCGCCCTCATACCTCTAACAGCACTCAAGACCACTGTATTCATAATCAACCTCCGTCTTCACTTCCTACATTGACTTTCACCTCTAAACTTCCTTGTTCGGCTTCCTCCTCAAGTGTCACCATAGCCAACAATTCTAGTGCGCTAAACACTGTTCCAGGTTTACTGGAACCTCGCTCCAAACTACACATTGGAGCCTTCAACGTAGGCATCCAATGTCAAACCGGTCAGCAGGCTTCCTTGGCTAGAACCCTAGAATCTCGTACCATTGATGTAAGCTGTGTCTCTGAAACATGCATACAGGATCCCAGTGTGGTCATTCACTTGACCTCACCTCGGCAACATGGAGAGCCAACGAGATACACCCTCCATGTATCTGGTGACCCGATGGCCAGTTCTCGTGGACTGGCAGGTGTAGGCATAGCACTACGCATAAGGACAGAACAAGCACTGTTAGAGTGGATCCCCGTTAACAGTCATTTATGTGCTGTTCGGCTAAACGGCTCCGTAAGAACTCGGAAGGATAGGGACACACGTCGTTGCCTTTTCGTCGTTTCTGCCTACGCTCCCACCGACTGCAGCCCAGACGAAGTGAAAGATGAATTTTACAGAAATCTATCTGAACCTCTTCAGAAAGCTAAACGTCCAGACATAGTACTCATAGCAGGTGACTTTAATGCCCAGATAGGTAGCTTAAACCAAACAGAAAGGCATTTAGGCGGGTATTTTAGTATTCCGGCACAACGAACAGATAATGGTGATCGTCTGCTGCAACTATGCTCAGACAATCGTTTATTTTTAGCAAACACAAATTTTAAGCATAAGGAGAGACATCGTCTAACATGGCGACCCCCTACACCAAACCAACGATGGACTCAAATAGACCATATTGCCATCAGTCATCATTGGAGAGGGTCAGTAGAAGATTGTCGCTCATTCTGGAGTACCTGCTTGGACTCCGACCATGCCTTAATACGGGCACACATTTGCTTGCGCCTCACTGGACGCAAAAAAGTTACAGTAAAAAGACCCATTAGAACTGAATTGAGTAACGAGAAAACCAAAAGTAGGTTCCAGGAACAACTGAGGTCACACTTAGGTAGTTCTGCAAACGAGGCTGTCCCAGATGTTGCTTGGAAAGATATACAAACAGCTGTGGAAACAGCAGTGACATCTGTTAGCGACTTAAACCACAGGGTTACAAAGAACCAATGAATTTCTTCAATGTATATTGCACTGATGGATTCTTGTAAACTCATCCCATCAGGCTCTGAACACGATGAAGAGCGACAACAAATCAGATCTAGGTTAAGCAAAAGTCTAAGGAACGACCGTGAACAGTGGTGGGCAACGAAAGCAAAAGAGATGGAAAAGGCGGCGACTATAGGGAACACAAGACAGCTCCACAGACTAATAAAAGAAACTGGAATTAATAAATCAAGTGTAAGTCAGACTAATTCGGAAAATGACGACACCCTCATCTGCTCTAAGTCCAGAAGTTTAGAACGATGGGCGGAACATTTCAGAGAACAGTTCAGCTACTCTACAACTACCCTCCATTCCCAGACAGTGTGAATGGAACATTGAAGTAGGTCCCCCAACTCTAGCAGAAGTTCAAAAGGCTATAGTTAATCTGAATCGAGGAAGGGCAGCTGGTCCAGATGGACTGGCTCCAGAGGTCTTTAAGGATGGTGGTTCAATTTTAGCGATTAGGTTGACTATTTTAGCTAAGATCTGGGAGTTGGACGTTATTCTATCTGACTGGTCGCAATCACTTATCGTCCCAATATATAAGAAAGGGTCAAAATCATCATGTGACAACCACAGAGGGATTAGTTTAACTAATATAGTATATATATATATATATATATATATATATATATATATATATATATATATATATATATATATATATATATATATATAATTATCAGACGCCTAACTAAGACTCGTGAACTGCAAACACGAGAGACTCAAGCTGGCTTTAGACCTGGTCGTGGCTGCGTCGACCACATATTCACCATTCGTCAGATTCTAGAACAGAGGCATACTTATCGGCGTCCGACAATGGTGGTCTTTCTCGACTTAAAAGCAGCATTTGACTCTGTAGACCGCGAGATTCTGTGCCAGTGTCTGTCATTGAAAGGCGTACCTCAGAAGTACATAAACCTTGTGAAGGCTCTTTACTCGAACACTACTAGTCGAGTCAGGGCTTATGGCGAACTGTCATCTACTTTTGCAACTTCAAGTGGTGTCCGTCACTGTATTCATAATCAACCTCCCGACTACTTCTATCTGCTCATTACTCAGGGTGATTACAGGATCGGGTTCTGCCAGTCTTGTAGAAGTACTTTGCACTTCTAAGGTGCAAAGCACATACCATACCTACGGACGTTGATTACCAACTTATTAAGT